AGAATATGAAGCTGACTTCTGAAGATCTCTTTCCTTTTTCCTTAAGCATGTTTTAAGGCGTTTTAGGCCACTGCTCTCTCAGCCGAGAGTGAGAAAACATACTCAGTAATGATGGACTCGATTTATTCGACGTGGACGTTTTAGCATATATATAAGAAAGCCTGTGTTTCACGACCCGTTGACATCACGCGTGAGAGAGGACAACACATTTAAAACTCTGGAAATGCGTCCTCACTTCGATGCAGACGTTTAAAACAAATCACTGCATTCTCAGTTCCGAAATTCGTTGTCGGTCTATCTTGCCACTGGTGTCACTTTCTCTATTTCGCTAGAGTAGTCTGTCGTTCGTTACCAATTCATAGCTCTCATGTTGCCGTTTCAAGGCCGTGTCGCTTGTCGGAATTTACCCTTAACAGGGCCTCCTTGATTTTTTAGGTGTATCACATAGAATTCCATGAAACAAAAAAAGAAACACCGTTTACTGTTTGCAAATATCTGTATTAGTTCCGGAAATATTTAAGTTTGAAAAATGTGTAAAATATGCAAATGAGATGACTGATGACGTCATGCACTCGACCCAATTTTGTATCAAGTATATAAATAGAGCTATCTTGGTCAATTTGCAGTGCAGAACATTGAAACTTGGTGGGCTAATAGAGCTACAGAAAACACACCTAAGGCTATAAAAAATTCTGTTCCCATGGCAACTCACTCTTTTCCAGTCCCCACCCACTTTATTTCAATATGTTAGTGATTTTCAGCTCGCAAAACATTAAACGAGGCCACAAACTTGAGCTAACATATTTATATGCTTGCTGGATCAAGCATATGAGGCACCATTTGCAAATATCAAAATGCCTTTTATATTAGGGAGGTCTGGAACCCAGTATGTTGCCATGGTAACCAAACTGTTAAGCTCATATTGTGGAGCACATTGTAACATTTCTGATACAAATTGACCTAGATATCTTGTTTCATCATATTTGATCAAAATTTGGTTCAGTGTATGATGTCATCACTGGGTAATTTGCATATTTTAAAAACTTGAATATCTCTGGAATGAAAAGAGATATGTGAATATAGTAAACATCATTTTTCTTCTCACACAGGCTACTTGTTTATGTTTTAAAATGGATGCGATAGGAAAGATGCAATTTTGTCATAGTACCACTTTAAGTTTCTTAATCTTATTAGAACTGTCACTTAGCTGTAAGGTAAGGTTGTACTTTGAAACCAATGTCAAGTTACTTTTCAATGATTTTTTACATATGATTATTTGAATTTTTCAGGTCGCAATATCTGGAGTCTTGCAGTGAACCAAAGTAAAAATCTGATAGCTACAGGTGGTGGAGATGGAGGAATCAGACTCTGGCCATTATCAAGTCCTGATCACTGCAGCACAAGTGCTGTGAGAGAAGCATGCCTTCCATCCTCAAACAACAGAGCTTGGAACCAAATGGACACAAAGAAAACTAAAAAAGAGGATTATCCAAGATTTGTTAGTCTTCTTGACCAAGCAAATTTGTTGGTCATGACAAATGAAGGGTGAGTTTTGGCTGCAGTTTAGAAATTTTTGAGATTCATAACTCAAGTTAAAAAAAATCAATACTTTATTTATCCTTCGTAAAGATTAAAGCTTTAAGCTTATGGGACCGTGCACTTTGTGTGTTGAGAATAATTTGCCTTTGTTTGGATTTTGCATTTCTACAGTCTAGAGATTGGTTTAAAAACTTGTGTCACATCCTTTTTCAATCAGAATACCAGTTGTGAATCAGAAAACCAGTTGTGAGCTGGTCAAAAACATTTTCCAGTCTTTGCAGTGGCTCAGTGTATTAACTTTATGATTGATTGGTTCATTCTATTGTCTGACATGCCTCTTTTGTAATTGGCCACAGACAGTGATTCCTTTGGTTTCAATTTTACAACAATTGATTGAAAATTAATCTATATTACGTATTTGAAATTAGTGTAGAGGACCTTTGGAGTAATAAGTAGAATGATTTTGGGGGGTCCCTCCCTTCCCTGCTACTTCTCTTTAAGGCTTATCTCACCCCCACCCCCCCCCCCACCCCCAATATTATCATTTTGGCACTCAATACTCTTCACTGCCCTTAACAGACAGATATGTGAACAAACAAATGATCTAGCAAATGAAAGAACAAATGAATAATCAAAACCCACCAGCCAACCAACCTATGTATGGATCGGTGGGTGGAATATTCATTACTGCTACTGTAAACTTGTTTGTATCTGGATTCCCCCTTGACAACACATCTTCTCTTTTATGCAAAGTTGTCTATACAAGTATACTTGGCTTACAAGTAAGATTGTGGGAAACCAAGATGTCTCATCTTCAAGTCATAACAGAAGCTCTTCAAATCCTGAGGATCAGTGGACACTGTTGTGCAAAGATGCAGAGTACTCTTCATACAGTGTATTGGCTTTGTCTCCCTGTCATAAGATAATTGCATTTGGAAATTTAAAAGGAAAAATCAAACTGCAAGGCATAGGTGAGTGGTAACCTCCGGCAATTTTTATGTATTGATCGTGGAAAATCCAGGGGATTAGCTTCCTTTTATCCTTTAGGGTAGGCATGTGTTCAGGTAACAACAAGATTTACCAACATCGGTGTGTTCCCAAAATCATAAGGAGATGTGGTAATTTCCGTCATGTTGACCATATCCCTGTGAGTGTTGCTGTGGCCTGACCCTACTATCACTCTTGTGGTAGTCTTGTCACTCTATACCACTTTACCTTTTGGTATACCAGTAAGTAAAAGAGGTTTCAGAGAGCCCACATAGTCGCTATGAATGTGTGGTATCATGATCAGATATTGTGAAAATGGTGTAAAGAAAACTTAGTTGTACTTCTGATGGGAAAATGACATTGAAAATCTTATATGTACCTGGAAACTGGGCATGCACCACAAACGAAATTGGTTAGTTTACACTAGTAGTGACCAATAGTCACTCACATTTTCTTCTCCCAATAGATTTCAGTCATCCCAGTGTAGAACGTCAGGCCTACTCAGGCAAAGTTCACAATCTTCTCTGGAGCCAGCTGCATTCTCCTCAGCATCTTTTTTCCTGTGGGCCAGACGGACAAATCACTTGGTGGAATATCAGCCACAATGAAGGACAACCAGCACAACCAACATTTGATGTTACTCCACTGTGCTCCTTCATCTTGCCTCCATCCAAACAGCGTTGGGCATCAGCCATAGAAATTTTCTTAGACCCTTCAGTGAAAGAAATTTCTGGCAGAGAAAGTTGGACTAAAGACTCCGTTGTAGTAGTATGTGGGGATAGGAAAGGATCGTTGCATCTGTTTGATCCTAAAAACGCGACTGGCTCTTCTCAAGAGGCAAGTTGTTTTCTGTGCTTCAAGGATAGTTTAAATTTTTACATAATGTATTTAGTTCTCAAAGTTGTCGCAGAAAAGACAAACAGGGGTAGTTTTCAATGACGTGGAAAAGCACTTGAAAACATTTTATTTTCGAAATCGATGGTGAGTGTTAAAAGCAGGTTTACTAAGTTAACAAGCCATCGCTTAAAACAAAAAATCTAATCGTTGGATGTTGTCCTTCAGTAGCATTTTGAATGAAAGTGGTAAAAGTTCAATTGAGGCCTTACACTACAGTAAAATGACGTTAAAATCGTTTAAAAAATTCCAAGCTTTCGCCGATCTACGACATCATCAGGGATAAAAATACGCGTAATATTTTTTCTTATCCCTGATGATGCCGTAGATCGGCGAAAGCGTGGATTTTTTTAAACGATTTTAACGTCATTTTACAGTAGTGTAAGGCCTCGATTGAACTCTTACCACTTTCAAAAAATCTAATAGTTCCATTTCCACGTACATTGCTCCAAACACTGCCAACTAAGACATGAAATTCGTGACTGAGGAGAAAAGAAGCTTATCAGGTGGAATAACATCTCGAATGCTGTTTTCATTTGTGGCATCGCTAAGCAACATGTCCTGTTGGCCATAATTTTAGGTGGTAACTTGTGGAGTGCTGTAATGCTGTCAAGGGAAAGAGAATTGGAAACGCAACTTGTCAAAGAGGATTCGCCAAGGGCACCTTCTCTACCAAGTTCAGAAATTCTAGAATCTTCAATTCTGGTGTAATCTGTCAGTTAATAGGGCATATTGATCGTATTCTCGTTATTGGACTGGAACTAGCTTGCAATGGAGGTTCATGCGGGGGAATGCTTAAAGGGACAGAGTCAGCTGGAGCACATGCGCATTAGATGTTATTTCATAGCTAATTTGCATATCACAGAGACGCGATCCATACTGTTTTTAGCCAAATATGATAAAAATAGCATCATAGAATGAGCAAAAGCACACTCAAAAACAGGCTATTCAGTAAACGATTGAAAATCAAGCAAAACACTGCGAAGATTGAAGCGGATGTACTTTGATTTCAGGTTGAGGTGAACTTTTTTCAAAGTGAGAAAACTAGTGTCCAGGTTAGCGCGGTCCCAAAGCTGACTAAGTCCCTTTAAAGAAGAGATAAAAGTTATTTGCATTTGAAAAGACTCCCCGCATTAGCCTCAGTGGCAAGCTAGTTCCAGTCCAATACCGAGAATACAAATATGGTCTATTGACTTAAAAGAAGTGGGGGTTTTTTTTCTGTATTTTTATTATTCTTATCATTCTCTCTCAGTCGAGCGGTCCAGTACATTCCCTTCCTCTGATTCACGGCAAAGCAGGAGTGAGTAACCTGTCTCTTCATAATAACACCATGTATTCAGCCGGTAGAGATGGAGTCTACAGACAGCTCAGAATACAGAACACTTTGGAAGTTATTGACACCAAAAAGGTACTTCTTGATCACAGGATTTGTTCTCAAACAGGCGTCTGGATACAGACATCAGGGCTTATTCTCATCTCATTTCTATAGGTCTTCAAAGGTTTGGACTGGGTTGAGCGACTGCTGTTCTCCAATAGTGGCGACTTACTCATTGCTGGCTTCCATTCCGTAAGATGTTTTATATACCGTTTGTGGTGTATTATATTTGATAGGGCAAGAAATAAGTTAACTTTTCGAAGTGATGATCTGTTCTCTTACATTCTACAGGCGTATTTCGTCTTATGGAGCGTGCAGCGCAATGAACTCTTGTGGAGAGTGAAGTGTGGTGGAGCTCACAGAGTCTGGGACTTAGCCCTTGAACAGTCGGTAGGTGTTAAACTTTTATCTTTTGTGTGGTGTTCGTATCGATGGGTTAAGTTCCTGTGTTAATATCGTTTGATTGATTGACAAAGCCAACGCGGTGTTTCCAAGTGAAGGATTCATATTAGTGCAGCTCTTGGAGTGATTGTGATTGCAGTAGTATCAGTGTTTGTAAATGGAGGAAAATCGTCGGTATCTCAAACTACTTCATTAGCACCTTTAGTCCTCCTCCTCCCCCCCCCTCGTCGTCGTCATCATCATCGTCGTTGTCATCATCATCAGCATCATCACCACCACCGTCGTCATCAATCCGCTACAATCATTTCTAACGACAATTTTTTCATCTTCTTCATCGCTGTCGTTGCTGCACTCCATTCTTTTCTTTTCTTTTCTTTTCTTTTCAAATTAGCAGCTATAACTAATAAGAAATAAAGCACCCTAGCATGGAGTGATAGTCTAAGGCTGTGTTCACACTTGGTACTCCAAAGACCCAAGTGCGATTTAGTGCCTGAGTACAAGGTCGAGACCTTGTACCCGGGCATGGACACTGTGCCCGAATTCTGGTGTGAGTAATTGAAAAAAAGGTGTGTACACATTAGTGCCCAGCCAGAATCGGTCACTGTGCTCGGGCACCAAGTGTGAACATAGCCTTAAGGTGTGTTCGCATTAGTGTTCAGTGAGAATCGTACTTAAGCACCATGTTTAGGCACCAAGTGTGAACATAACCTAAGTAATATGCTCTTTGAGTATACCAGTATTTGCTAACTAGTCGTGTATTTTCAGGAAGTTTCCATATCTGGAGCAGTGTTGTCCTTTATCAAAGACTCGATTATTTACACGCACAAAATGGTTTTTCCCAGTGAGTTGAAAAAGTCTGTACTGAAGGTAATCTGGCTATACTTATTTATCTGCTATCGACTTTTGTTTTGCGTAACTGTTTTGAACATCAAGTAAAATACAATTGAAATGTTTTAATTACACAATAGTTTGTTGTCTTGACGTTCTGGTTCGTTTGTTTATTTGTAGCCAGGTTTTCACGGACGAGAGGCGACGTGTCTGTGCTTCATAGACTCCCTTGCAGGGCATCAAGGTATGCTGACGGGCATCTTTGACGTTTAAACTACCTCAATCTCCTATTAAGCTGTGTATTTTCTGGCTTGTTTTGTAGCTGATGTCACTGACGTGTTAGCTACAGGAAGTGAAGACACCAATATCAAACTGATGATCTGTATCCATTTATTTAATAGTTAAAGGTGTTTTTTATGATATTGGATAACGCAATCACCTAAAGACAAACCAAAATAACCTAGCTGCGCTCGTATAGTTCCAAGCTCTTCGTCCTAGACAATTCAAACGATTGACTTCATTTTTTTTTCCATTTTTCCATTAATGCTTTGGAATAACGTTTCACCAAAGATATAGTTTGACCCCTCGCCATGTATCAAAGTTGAGAGAAACCTAGTGTATAGTGTGACGCTCACGGTTCGAGAGACGAGTGTGCTAATCGTTTGAAGCCGGGAAGTAGTGTTATTTTTTCTTTGCGTCAGGCGCACTTTGGAGCCAGCCTTAGAACTTTAGAAGCCCAGATAGAACACCGGGGTCCAGTTTTGAGCATGGGACAGAAAGAGTTGAGGTGAAGTGTTCCTATTATTTAGGCAATGGTTTCCTTAACGCAGATTTTTTCAGCTAACCGTTCCACCGGTACATGTGTTTGTCTTTTCACTGCGCATGGTCATATATCGAGTGTCCGAGCCTTGAGCGCTACTGCATGTCCTCTGCCAAAACACCAGCCGAGCGAACAAATCAATATCAATACTTCCAGTGACAGGAATTGCCATCTTCTCTTTTCTGGCGGCGGCCGCGCGTCACTCAAATGCTGGCGCGTCGATCTGTCACTCATTGATTTCGATAATGACAGTTGTCATGGTGATAAGATGACATCATCTCCTATGGTTTTCCTGGGCGAATATTTGTTCCGCTTCAGTAATCACCGAAGGAGACGAAAAAAACAGGACTTGCAGTCCTTGTCGGAGATCAGGTTTATGTCTCTGACGTCACTATGTGCCAACGAACTGATCGACAGCTGTCAATCATTGTATTTTGTCATGGCAGCATGCTCGGATGGCTTTGTTCGGTGAGTGTTTGGTGCTGTTCACATTGCTTCGGATCTAAATAGACTAACCTGGTGAATTAGTTCTTTCAAGGTTGTGATATGGGTGTATTCCGTTTGGCGTGATTGTTGGTACTTCAAGTAGTTTAATCCTCGTGGTTTTGTTTTGTGTAAAATGTAATCGGATGACGATTGTACGTTTTGATGAGGCTGTGGTCAGTATAAACCTAAGTGGGGAAAATGGCCAAAAGACACAAGCCGCCAGAGAATTGAACCGAAGAAGTAGGGCTCACATTTGGTTAGCTCTCTGGCCTTTCGTTTGACTATTCTACTTATTAGAGATTCCGTTTACAGGCTGTTTCGGTAACTTGTGGTGGTAAGCAATCCCGAATTTTGCTGTGCGTGTGAACTCTCATTGTTAATATACGAATTCTCTGTAATTAAAAAGAACTTTCAACATCGACTGAGATAGTTTCCTATTATTTTTAGATTCTTTATTTCTCGTAGTCTCTAACCTAGATTATTTATTGACATTGATTGAAAAATTTGTTGTTGATCAGTCTTAGAACTGCTAGAGTTAATTATGCTGCAGTCTAGTTATGACGGATTCATGTTTGTTTTGTTTCTTGTCTATCTCTGTTCTCCAAGGATCCTTATAAGTTGTTTTTTCTCCTTTTCTACGTAGAATTTTCAGCTTTGATGAGCTGCAAAACAAGTTCTTAGTTCTGGCCCAGTCCCAGTACCTCAAACGCTGTGTTCTCGCGGTTAGTCACGTGATTGATTTTCGTACGAGTGGTAGACCGCTGGTTATGTTGTTTGCGGGAGACACTGCTGGTAGAATTTCTTGTTGGGACGTGACTACATTGTTGTTGAACCATGTAAAAGAATATTGTTACTTCATCTGCGGAGAGTACAGATTAATGAAAAATGTATCAGACAGAGAGAGTTGTAATCAGGTTGCTGTGGAAAAACGAACAGTCTGTGAGGTAGACGCTGTGAATAAATCAAGTGAAAAGTCTGTTTTGGAAGGTAATGTTTCTTGGGAAAAGTGTGACACAGCTCTGAAGAGTGTGACTCCCCGTCATGTGAAGGAAAGCGTAACAACTGATAGCGTGACAGTTATAAAACACCAGGACAACAGTGAAAATGAAAGCGTCACATTTCCTGAGGGTTGTTTGACTGATACAGCGGAATCGGAAAATTTTGCGTCCATTGATCATTTGACAGTGGAGCAAGATGTAGCAAACAGGAATGAACAGACTGCCATCACTAGCGAAACACCAGGTCCATCCAGCTTAAATGATCGAGATGATCAACAATTTAATGCAGAGTTTGTGGAGCAGAGTGATTTCTCCTGTCTTCCTCTGGTGCCAGGCTTCCTTGATTTCCCCACGCACGTGTTTCAAGCTCACCAGTCCGGTGTCAATGCAATCTCGCTCGTGAGATACCAAGGTAAGACATTTTAAAGAAAAACAGAGTTCAATTTTTTTAAACGTACATAATTCATGAACAGACACGACATATCATACATTTACATAAGCGCACACTTCTACTTCTCAATATAATACTAGTACAGCGCAGCAACACGAGATTCTATATCAACCTAATTGTTTTTGTACTTTCCCCATTTCATATCGTGAGTTTTTAATTGACTATTTGATTTTGTGTGGAATCCATTAATGCACTTGAGAATTCTTTCAAATTTTGAGAGAATTTTTCAAATATCACTGGTAGTGTAAATCCCTTATTGCACTGGTATTGATATGATCACCTATACTTATTAGCCAATCAAAAGCCAGTGCAAGTTCCGCGAGTGTTGTCTTGTAAACTTGTCCTTGCAAGGGTAAAAGTCGTATTAACGTGGTTTATTATTATTATTATTATTATTATTATTATTATAATTTCTGATTTTTTACCAGATACATGTTAGATTCAAGTTTTTATGAAAAAGTACTCAATAAAGTTTGTTGTTGTTATTATTATTTATTTATTTATTTATTTATTTATGTATTTATTTATTTTCGAATGGACTCACTCGGTTGAAGGGAAAAGGTATGCCTTCTTGTCGGACAATAGAAGTTTTACTTGCTGTACAACATTTAACGTTTTAAGAATTGTTACTTGAGTGTTTTTGTTTTAGTTTCAGGGCAGTATTTGATGGTCAGCGGTGGCGACGACAGTGCACTTTACGCCGCGGAATTTGACTTGGTCTCCAACGATCACGACACCACTAAGGTTCACGTGACTCGTGACGTAACAGAGCCCTCAGCTCATACGTCATCAGTAACAGGTAACGATGCAAAAACTACCCTTAACTTGTTTTCTGGGACTGTCTCTTCCTGAAAACGAGTTTGACCGGTTTCACCTGGCTCTTCAGACCTCCTGAGGTCACATCACTACCTTGCAAGGGTTGTCCCGTTGAGTTAACTTGTTCGATCCGTAGTTGAATTAAATAGTTGGTTGGCTTGGCATTACAGAGACGTACAAGACTAGTAAGCCCATGTTTTTGATCTTATAATAGGTCCACAAGCTGAGATGGGTTGATTGGGTATGTGATTATCGGGCAGTGTGGGTGATAAGGGAGCGACCAAAGCGACCCGAGGGAAACCCGTTGGTAGTGGGTCTCCATCAGGTTTTTCTTTACTTTTCTTTCACTCTCACCCTCTCCTTTCATGCCGTCTTTTCTCTTCAATCTCTCCTCGAGTAGAGATCCTGTTTACGTGCTATGCTACGGCAGTGCGGATAAACTGAACTCTTTGATACTAGTATAGAGTGTTTTGCAATTGAGTGTCGAAAGTAGTCAAGCATTTACATTGGTTTTGGGTTTGGTTTTACTTCGGTTTGAGATTGGCAGAGTGTTGGTTTTACTACACTCAATTGAAACCGCTCTAGTGTCGAAAAGTATTGGTTTTGCACTACTACGCTTCACGATTGGCTTAAGAAACTCGCACCACTTTTTTATCCGATCGAAAGTAAAACCAAAACCAATCGTGACTCGTTCGCACAGTGACATGTTTTCCCGCGCTTCGCGTCAGCTACACGTATTTACTACGAGTTTTGATTGGTTCACTGGATTATCTGTGTCCTTTGCGATTGGCTACGCTCTATGAACTATGGTTTACTTTTCGGTAGTTTTAACCTAAAGTCACATTTATTTTCTAAGGTGTAAAGGTTCTAAACAGTGGCTTAGTGATCTCGTCATCCGTTGATCAAAAGCTTATTGTGTGGGAGATGGTCAGCAGAGAACAGGTGAGAAGTAGCATAGCCTGCGTAGCAGCTGTAACCTTCCTTTTCCAGGCGGAGAGATCGAACAAGCGAGCGAGCAAACGGGCGAGCGAAGGAACACGCCTGGGGTGAGGAAAAAATGGAGAGAAGTAGGGAGGGGGTGCCGCACCTCACCCTCTCCCCCTGCTCCTTATTTTTTTTGCACTCGCTAGCAGTTTTGTTTCCTTCGTGTGCTTTTTTGGAAACATAGAAGTAATAGGGTGTTAAGCTACAATCTTGGACAGAATAANAATGGAACAATTATCCCCCATCCCCCCCAAAGCAATGATGAAGGCGCGAAGGAGCAAAAGCACGCCATTTTGGCATCATTGAAATGGGGGGAGGGGTGGTCCAGATGTTCCATTTATTTTGTCCAAGATTGTAGCTAAGAGAAGGACCACTGCACCTTACTCATGGACTTCTTCAGTACTTTTGGGAGAAAAAGAAGAAAATACGAGAACTGTTTGGTGTTTCTCTTTGCATAGAACACTTCTTATCTCCCAGAGGCAGAATCCTACCAACCTATTTTACAGTTCCGCGCTTAGTGATCTGAACTTTGGATCAAAGTGAGGACAGAGTCGACTTTGTATAGATAATCATACGGTTTCGAGTTCAATTTGGAATTAATTGGCACGAGTGAGTTTTTCAAAAACCTGAAATTGCAGGAGCCGCTTCGGCGAGTGCAATTTCAGCTTTCTGAAAAACTCACAAGTGCAAATTAATTCCAAATTGAACAGGAAAAACCGTATGGTTACTTATTAATAATATAAACATGAAAAAATTCGCGTGCAGGAAGTGCCTGAAGATCTTTCTTGAAGCCATTTTCTCTCATTCGAGAAAAGTTTTTTCAAAGTTTCCGCACAAAATTTTTATCATTTTATGTGATATCATTGGCTTAGAAAATTTCCTATTGTCTTTCAGCCAATCATAATTCAGAATTACGATGTGTAATTTGCACTGGTGTTACACTTGAACTGCACTGCTCTCAGCCAATCAGAATCGAATAATTTCTTCATGTATATTATTAGTTATAATACAAATCTTGCTGCTTCCTATCAGACTACCTTAACCTCGCTTTCATGCAGAGGCTCTGTTAAATTTCAGTGATCTTACTGAATTGTAAAATGATCGTTTCACATGATGAAATTATGGCTAGCAATAACCAATTTTATTATTTCATATCCCACAAGGTTCCATTTGCTTTCCGTCAACGCGCTGTGGAAATCGTAGATATTGCCGACGTCCAGGACTTGGAGGTCTGGGGAGAGAGGTACTGTCAGATAACAAATAAATTTGCGCACGTCAATAAACGCGTTATTTGCTATCTCTGACTGAATTTAACATCTTTCTTTTTCAGGGACGATGGTTTGGTGGCAGCAGTTTGCGGAGTTGGTCTACAGACCTTCAGTCTTCTAGGACATACTTGATACGTGAAAGTTCTTTATGCATTTTCTTTCCAATCAAAGAGCGAGCCATGAGCTGCCTGGACTGTGCTATGTTTACTGGGCAATAAACAAGACAACAAATATTGGACTACTGAAAGTGGCTCTGAGCACAGACTATTCGCTAGCATATATATCATTTACGTCCACTCCCCTTCGTGTTTTTCTTTTAGTTATTTTATCAATGGAAAATCAATTGTCGTAGTGAAATAACGAAATAAAATTGTGAAGACCAAACTTAGTAAAAGAGGACCTTGTTCTTCTCTTTCTTTTGTCCGCGAGAGTTTATAGCCAGGCAACGAACGAGATCAGTGTCACGCGGGCTAATCGAGACGTCAGGCAGTTATTAGCACCTTGGGACTATCACACGACCAAACGTTAGAACGAACGACTCTTAAATTGAGTTTACGACTACTACCACGCGACAAGAGCTAAGAGTTTTCCCGAGTGCGAACCGTGCTTGCCCCGCCCAAAAAAATTGAGAGAAGAGGAAGTGGAAAGCGTGCGGCTGATCGCGTTTAAGTTTCCATGCATTTATTTTGTCTGCTTGACCAAGTCAAAGTCCCCTGAAGAAATGAAACCGAAAGACAAGTAAGGGAAACTGAAAACGCTTACTCTACGTTTCCCTGACTTCGCTTCATATACATAGGCTCGTTCCCCAAGTTTTATCCAGCTACATCTTGTGTTTACCAGCCACTGTTCGGAAAAATGAGCCCGCGTTTCTCCCCCCGAACAGTGAAACTCTTTCCCTCGGGGAAGACCTTCGATCAACCCCAGTGTTCCGGTGGATTTGTTAGAAATCAAACTTTAGTTGCAAAAACATCGGTTTTATATAGCCAGACAAGGACTTACGACTATACTGCGTCTTGTGGTTTAGCATCTCCATGGCCATAGTGGAATAACTGTGGAGGTCTTTTGCGTGCAAACTTTTATTAGACAGTCGTGATATCAACTCGAGAACCCTTGCCTTCGTTTATCATATTTCCTCGAAGTAATATGCGTTAATATATATTCAGTTCCGGCCTTATGTGACTTTTCTAAGGGGTGGTCAACCTTGTACAACAATCATCCGCCCACATACCTAGAACGTTAATTAGCGACAGGGAACTCACAAGCACAGATAGGTCGTGAAATATTATAGCCCGACGTAAGTAGTCTAGCTTAAAGTGAGTTGTCAAACATCACATCCGCTCGTTAAGGAAATTACATATGACAACTTCCGAGTGTTTATCAAGGCAAGGTCAAATATAGGATTTTTCATCGTGAAGAACCTAAGCATAATTTTCAATTCATAGTGCTTGAGGGCGTTGGTTAATTTCGAATTTTTGTCAAGAATTCCATCTCGGATTTATGGATTAACGCTAATCGGCGTCGAATGTCTGGTGCTAAAATGACCAAGAAAAAAAATTGTACTTCCAGTGGATCTGTTTGGTTCGCTCGATCCGAGTGAGATCTGGGTACGAGGATGCCAGATGTTTGTTGACGTCACGGCACGAGGCTTTTCACTTTCAAAACATCATGGCGACAGCTGTGATATTGATGAACCCGGGAAAGTATTCGCCGATTTTTTCCCGTGAACGTCATAAAGGAACCCCGGCCGAGCATGAAAATCAGCTTCATGACACCTAAAGTACTTGGTAAAAGACGTTTGGCCGGAGCTTTCGGTGTTGAAGGCCCGAGAGCTCGACGAAATAGTGAACCGAGATTGGTACAGCTTCTGGGATCTTTCGCGGAAGGTGTTGTTAGGAGAAGACGGTATTTGTTGAATTGTGAACACTTGAGACATTCACTTCGTTCTGTAAGAACTTTTACGTCATTGTTAGATTATTTTCATCATGCCAAAGAAAGAAGAAAATTTAAAATGGGCGTGCAAGTATTGCACATATTCTAATTGGCCTTGTTCTATAAAATGTACTTTGTGCTACGCTCCAAGGCCGCCGCAGGTTATCACGCAAGAAGCGAGTAGACCGACAGGCGTAACAGAAGATATTTACGAGGCAGCTAGCAGCGACAGGATTATCTCTACTGATCCGATTATTTGCTCATCAAGCGACAAGAAAGCGCTGTCTCCACGACACGCCGAACAGACTGAAGAAAATTCAAAATGGACGTGTTCATGTTGTACATACGAAAACTGGCCTCGATCGCTTCACTGCGCCATGTGCCGGACGTCGAAGCACAAATCAGGCAAGAATGGAAGACACATAGACCTAGGAAATGGCAACAAGGATACCTCTTCTCGAAGCGTTTCTCCAAAATCACCGGGTTCTGTTGGTAACTACGGAAGGCTTGATTCCAAAACAATAAACAATGATAAGAATCGCGCGCTGTTAAAAAATCATAAGTGGACCTGTCCACAATGTACTTATGAAAATTGGCCAAAAACTGCCAAATGTGCACTTTGTAAGTGTTTGAAACCAGCCAAAACAAAACAAGAAGAGATCGTGAAGAATGCAGGACTAGATAATAATGCAAAAAGACCATCCACTTCAAAAAGGAGGTCCCCCCCTTCATCAGTCAGTGAGGCCACTTTAGAAATCCAACCAAGCAGTCAGACTGGGGAAAAGATCATTTATGACATCCCAGCCTCAGATGATGTTAATGATAATGAGGAGGTACTGCAAATTCGCAATTGTCTACAGGATTCGGATTGGTTGTGGTTGAGTGCTTGTATAGGTGTTGTAGAAGGTGATGTTTCATCAGTGGAGAGCTATTTAAACTCTGTCAGTGACCTTTCCAGACAGTTGACGAGAGAAGACTGTTTGGTGTTGAACCGACCAGGAGTCTTTGAAGTGGGACATACACTAGTTCACTTGGCATTTAAATTTAAAAGAGATGAACTCATGACTATATTGCTTACTCCAGAAGTGACAAGCCATCATTTAAGACGTGTTCCTTGCATTGCTTGCCCAGAACTAGCAGCAGACATAAGGAAACAAATGGGTCACACCATTAGACAGCGTAAAGGTGACTGGCGCTGTTACTTTTTCACTGACCAGGTCACATTTGTTTTACCAGCAGGTGAGAACATTATTCTACTATAGTTAAAGTTCTTTGCATTCACTATAACTTGCATAATCTTAGTCTTAATCTTAATATTTAACTTCTAATCAGTTAGAGCTGGACATTTCTGTGGAAGAAAGGGTAGTATTCTCTTAATCTTATTTCATTATGGCCAGTTTCTAGGGTTACATGGCAAAAACACTGGGGCATTCCATCAATAGGGAGTAGGAAAACTACTTGTTTCTTTACAGTGCAGTAGCTGAGTGAAATGCCAGCCTGGTAATTTTACCAGCTGACCTAGTCTTGTGGACGGACATTATCTTTGAAATACTTACAGTGCACAAATGTTTCATAGAAAACCCATAACATAACCAGCAAGTATCCAGTGTGTCTACCCTGATTACCATCACTGTTTCGAGATTAAACTGGGAACAAACTGTAATCAAAGCTAGGCGTAAGTCTTGTGTGCAGGTCTTTTGAAGTTGTTGGTTGTCCTGGTGCATCACTTGTCAGGGAGCAAATTGTAAGAGAGATCCATGAAAACTGCCAACTTGATAGATCTCAATTTGTAATAGAACACCCACTATGTTGGGTCTTACTGAAAGTACTCTGGAGCTGTAGATGAAACTGATATAACAAAACATTCAAAGGAATTCCGGAGTAAAGTACTTCTAGTTAAACACAATACCCAGGGATTACTGAGAACAGTGAGAGTTTGAGTTTGCTGTAACAGATAGTGGTGCTTTCCATTCATAATCTCACATCTAAATAACTTCAAATCTGAATTTTTTACTAGTATTTTGTAAATTAGTTGCATTTACAGTACTGATATGTTGAGATGTTACATGAAAAGTTCTCAAGGTCTGCGAAATTTAACTGATTGATGATCCATTGCTTTTAATTAAATCATCTGAATTTGGTTGTTTTCCTTTATTAGGATTATGTGTGACATATTTTTTAAATGCCACTCGTGGGTGTTACATCAGTAAATTGATACAATGCAAATAAAATAACTCTAATAAAATAAATGATGAAAAATGAAAAATATGCATATAATATTCATGTAAACTGAATCTTGCACAAGATACTTATTTTTCTGAGGATGTTAAAGTTTTCACAAAAACATTATTAGTCTTCTCATAAGATAATCACTATTGCTTCGCTGGGATTTATTGGTTTTATTAGCCTGCTAATAATAATATTTGGACGCTTCTAGAAGAAAAGGGTATTCAAGGGTTAGGGAGAATTTCTGATGTGTAGATATTTAAATAAATCATCCTCTGTTAGAAAACCTGCGTGTCAGAATTTTTTTAAAAAAATGATTGTCACACCCACTGGTTAGAATACTCATACAGAGCTCTACTTACACTACTTACCAGGCTAATACAGTTACTTACACTACTTATTCAATATGATTACTTCCGCCACTTACAATACTAAGACTTACACTACATTACTTACAATACAGTTCAATTACTTACACTACTTACACTGCAATATGATCACTTACGCTACTTATAGTACTAATACTTACAATACAATAGGATAACTCATGTTGCTTACAATACTAACACTTAAACTGCTTCCAATGCAATACCATTACTTGCGCCACTCGCAATACTAATACTTACATAACTTGCAAATATTACAAATTTGATTACTAATATGCTACTTACAATTCTCACACCAGAAATGGTTTGTGTTGTAATGGTAATTCCATTCTTTTAACTTATAATATTTTAGTACAAGTATCCTGACAGTATCATATCATTATGGAATCACTGTGATGATCATACCACAATTTTGCAAGAGACAATATTGCGCATTCCAAACAGCTCCAAATTAGAAACAAATCAACGCAACTATCCAAAATTGTATATTCAAAATATTAGAAAACATTTCAGCTGATGCTTACTGATAATCTTTGTAAGTAAGTTATTTTGTTGCTATGGAAGATTACAAATTGAGGTTTGGAAATCAAGTTAGACATAAACATTTAGATCTTAGTACAAGCACTTTGTTTTTTTTTTTTTTTCGTCTTAAACTCCAATGAGGGGTACATATACATTTAAGTGTAGTGAAAATATACTTTGTTTATAACTTTGTAAATTTTCAGTAATTGTACTATAAGCTTTGTAAGGTATGTTTTGTGATTATACAGTGTAATTATAATAATCTAAAAAAGAAAGTACTTAAATGTTGTAATCAGAATCTGACAAAAATATTGTAACTATGTGTAGATGTCCAGGACTTTCCAACAAGAGTACAGAGGCAAGTGTTTGATGACATTCTTGACAGGGATGTTCAAAGAGGTAAGAAGAATAAGAAAGTAAAGGTGTTTTTATATATGAAAACACTCCACCTTGCAGGATGTTAAGTTGTAACAAACTCTGAACAGCTATATCTTGTTAGATGCTCACTGCACTTGTATTTATGTTTTTGTGGAAATGAGTTATAAATTAGAACTACCCAATTAACAGTCTACAACATCCATTTTATGTAATTTAGTTGTTTAATGATCTGAAATGAAGCCTCTTTTCTCCAGTAACCCCACTCTCTCTCTCTATAATTTCCCCCTCTCATGGTAGTAAAATAGTCACTTGGGGCTTAAGAGTCCCTGTCCATAAAAATGGAAAATAACTCGGCAAGGGTCAAAAATTCGAGTTCCCTCATATTTTCATGGTAGATAGGCTAGGGCATGACAAAAACTACTGGATAGTTTTTTTGGCAAAATATCCTTTTATTTCAAAGAAATATGCAAAT